GGCCCTCCTTTTAGAGATGGGAAAGTGAGACCCAAAGAAGTTAAGGTGACTTGTCCAAGGTCACACAGTGTGATAAACCAAATTTTTGCAATCTGAGTCTGATTTTTAAATGTACCGTGGAATCATATTATTTATAGGAATTCTGTGGTAAATCCACTTATTTTAATAAAAATAACAACCCTAGGGGCAGCTAGGTGGCGAAGTAGATAGAGCCCTGGTCCTAGAGTCAGGAGGACCTGAGTTCAAATCCAGTCTCAGACCAGACACTTGACACTTACTAGCTGTGTGACCCTGGGCAACTCACTTAACCCCAATTGCCTCACCAAAAAACAAAAAAAACCCCCAAAAAACAAAACCTTAACATGTTCTTAAGCAAAATCAGGTTAGAGGAAAGAAAGATCTTTTTATTTCTTAATCTTTTTGCCTGGACATCTGACTAAGGAAAAGACCCATTTTACCTACTATCTGCTCAAGAAACAAGATCAACAGTTGTAATGGGAAGAAAAAGATTAGACATCAGAAAACTTCCCAGTGATAAATATAAACCAATGCATAAACTAGGGGTGGAGAGACAAGCAATTCTCTTCCTGGAGATGCCCATATCAATGAGGAAGGGTTAAGGGATAAAAAGGAAGAAAGGATCCCACTGTATATACAGTCCTCCCATCCTATCTTATAACTTTTAAGTTCTCACCTTAGATTGAAACCTGTGCTTCCCATCTTCTGAGGGTGACCTCTGGGAAGCTATGTGAGGGAACCAGGTCTTCAACATACTCTCTACTTGTAGCAAGGTCCCTAGATAACGCTCACTGCAAAGGCAAAAAGAAAAAAAAATTTAGAAGAGCAGTTAGAGATTTCAGAAGTAGAAGGAAAAAGAAAACAAGATTAGGGAGACATCACACTTTTATTTGGGTCAGAGAAAGAAAAAGCAGGGCAACTTACCCCATCTCGGGCTTCTGTAGGACACCTACAATACGCTGAATCCTGTCCATTGCCACACTCTGTTGAAAACTACTTAATCCTAAATGTAAATGAGAGAGAGGGGGAAAGAGATACCAAAGATTGAAAGACTCCAGTCTAGAAAAGAGAGAGGAAGCGAATAAATTTCTGGCCTGTTGGGAGGAAATAAGGAAGGGGAAAAGGGGGGCACTTCTATTCCATAACAAAGCCTTCAGAGGACTAAGATACTCAGGATTCCAGGCGTTTAGCCTGGTGAAGCTATAATACTTAAGGATAAGATGAAGTAGGGTTATTTTCAGGTATTGCAACTATTCCAGGGACAAAAAGGAAGAAGTCACACTAGCCTAATTCCATTCTGGCAAAGACATGGATACAGACTGAATGAGTAACACAGCGGAACAGATGGACAAAAATAGATAACCACCTCTCTCATAGCGGCCCATCTTCAGCCCATTCAACAGGTCTGTGAGGGGGCGAATGAATCCTTGGAGCTCTTTACACTATAGAGAAAGAGATCAAAGAGTGTAAGCCGACCCTAGCACAATATAAATTATTCTTTCAAATCTAGGAGCTATGACCAAAGATGGTCAATAACACAACCCAGTTAGAATCACTAAACTACTTCAGAACATACACAAAATAATAGGCCTCCAGACTTCCCAGTTCTTCCCCCTTCTTATTTTTACCTTCTGAGCAAAGAGCCGATCTCCTTCTGTACTAAGGTTCTGGGTGTTGAGACAAGTCTCCTCCTCACTGTCTCTTGATCTTTTCATTCCTGAACCAGCCATGGGGGAAGCGAAGCCAGGTCCTTCTAGGCAAGATGAAACCTGATGACCACTGGAACTCAGGGGCCGACGGCAACATCGAAGAGGTCCTGGCCGCTGACTTCCCCTCTGCCAACCAGCCTCTGACCTGGACCCGTGAGCCCCCCTGCACTCCCCCTCACTATCTGAGGAAAAGCCAAAGTCGCTGAGGGCACTGTCCACCTCCGAGGGGGAAGAGGAAGAAGAGAGGGAGGAAGAGGAATAGAAGGAACTACTAGATGGAGACTCCATGTTTCCAGGGAAGCTGGGGATGGACGTTAGTGTTGAATTAAGAGCAGATGCTGTAGTACGTTTGAACCTGCAACTTAAGAACAAAGGAGGAGTTTGCGTGTTAGGTCTGGGGAATTGATGGAGTGGAACAGAGTGGAAGAAGCGGAATTAGGGCATTGCTCCCCCCCCCCCCCCCGCAACTCAAAATTATCCTTGAGGCAACAGAAAAGTCACCCCGTCATCTATGTTGGAAGGGGCTGGGAGTGACTCAAAAGCTCCCCCGGAGAAGCCGCCTCCAGAATGATGGAGGCTTCTCTATCCTCTCTTTCCAAAGTCGAAAGGAAAATTTTTGATCAGATCCACCACCACATCTGCCCTCCCACAAGCTGCCGTCCCACGTCTCCTGGGGCTGTCGCTCCTACTCTCCTCTAACTCCTGGTCAAGCTTGTGCCGGCCTCTCCAGGTGGGGGCCAGGTGCAGGGCAGTGTAAGCAGCTGTGATCCGGGGACGGACGCCCAGTGCCTTCCACTCACACTCGCGGAGGCCCCTCCGAAGCCCAAGAAGGGACACGGCTCGCCCCCGCCCCCCGTCAATCTCTTCTAAAATCGGGTTCCCTATCACTGACCTCTTCCAGTCCGTCTCAGCCTCATAACGCATCCCCACCCAGTGTCATCATCTGATCCCTCCCTTTCTCAAGACTCTTTCTCTCCGAAACCACCCCAAATTAGCTCGTTCTAGGGCCCGCGAAGTGCTCACCAAACCTCCAGCTCCGTCCAAGGCTCTCCCTAGCGCACCTGGTCTACTCTTCCCTCCTCCGCCTTTCCTTAGCCAGGTCCCGCCCCTACCCCATCCCGACACGTGCAGCTCCGCACGTGCCTTCCCCTGCGCACCGGGTTGCTATCCTCCTATTGGCGGGAGAGCCGGGAACACGTGACCTCTGTTCTCCGGCCCATGACGACATCCCCCGTTCATTGGCTAAGCTCTCAGGGGCTCGGCCAATGGAGGGGCGGCCCATCGTTAATTGGCCTGGAGAGACTAATACAGTGCTCCGCCCCTACATGCGGCTTAGAAAGAGGACCCGGTGGCCGAAAGGGGAGGGGGAAGTAGGAAACACCGAAAAGGAGGGCGAGGAGGAGTTGGACTGGCTAAACTTAGGCGGGGAGGTGAAGCGCCCAGGCCCGAGAGACTCGAGTGTGTGGAGCCTGAAGAGAAAGAGCACGCACGCGGCTGGGGGCGGAAGGAGGGCGGTTTGGAGGGCCAAGGACGCCGCGGGTGGGCGAAGGAGGGGGATTCCACAGCAGAGGTGAGGCTCCTGGAATTCCAGGCTCCGCCCCCGGAATTGTCGTCCTGCCCGCCCCCTAAGCCTCTTGCAGTGTGCATGTCAGATGTGCACGTGGAGCCGAGAGAGTCCAGTGTTTGCAACGTGTGGGACCGGTCGACTGTGTGGGACACTGTGTGCTGGGCGTATATAGCCACACTCTCAGGCCTGGGACTCGTGACTCCCCACGTCTCCTCAACCCGCCCCCGCCCCAAGCCGGGTGTCTCGGTGCTCCGCGGGCAGAGCAGGGCGGGGACTAGCGCCGGGAACACCGCGTTCTCTCGCCGGCAGTTACAGCGCTTTTCTTACATAACCCGAGAGAGCACACGTTACACACACTGGTGCCTTGCCTGCCCCACCTCGGACCCCTTGTCAGAGCGCCAGACGGCCTCTCACGCTCCTGTTTTACTCATCCGCCCACTACCTGGGCTGGATCCCTTCCCCGCGTCCCCTCCACGTCTGGATGCTTTCCCCTGGTAGGGGAGAGGGGCAATGGTCATTCTTTTCCCCCTCTGGGTCCTGGAGATGTGCATGATTTTGGGATGTGGGTTTAGAGAGACCGTTTGAAGTGAGATGGCCCGTCTGAACGTGCGGAGCTACCTGGAGCTGAGAAGTTAAGAGGATACTATCGACGTCTCCCCATTCCGAGACAGGAGTGCATAGGGTGCTGTACTTGAAGTCAGAAAGAGTTGGGTTCATATCCTGCCCCTGACACTCACTAGATGTGTGACCCTAGGCAAGGCACGTAATCTCTCTTGGCCTCAGTTGTTCAGTAAAAATGAAGAAGCTGGGCTGTATCTCTAAAGTCCCTCAAATTAAATGACCCTCGTATTCTCATGGGTGGGTTCAGAGTTGGAAGTCGAGTGGGGTGACGGTTTCTGAAGCAGCCACAAGGGGGAAGCACAGTTCCCCTTAGCGTACATAAAGAGGTTAAAAAGAAATATAAAATTCTGCAAGACCGAGATACCGGGGCAAGGATTTTTGTTATATTGACCGTCCGCTTCTCAATGTTTTTTTTTTTTTGTAAAGAAAAAACAAACCCAAACACTTTGCAGGGGGCCATATAGGAAAAGGGAACTGGTTTATGTTTTAAAGCCATTTCCCCTTCCCCAACCCAGACACACAAACCTTCCAACCCCAGATGAAATAAACACGTGGCCTCGAGGCCGCACGTTCCCCACTACTGACTTAGTAACCGAATTGGAAGCAAAGAGAGGATGAAAGTTCGACTCTATATCCAGAACAAGCACATCATTTTGCAGCTAGGAAAGTTGAAAGAAATGTGTCCCCAATTCATTTGAGGATAGTGAGTAGCATAGGGAAAGGAGGTGAGGAGAGTCACGTTGGGTGCTACTCATGGAGAGGAAGCTACCACCTGGTAGCTCAATAATCTTGCTAAGTAGATGCTAAATTCTGGTTTCTAAACTGCTGGATTAAAAGTGCTGTCAGTATCCCTCAAAATTTCAGTGCCTGCATACAAAGCTTTAGTGGCCTGCCCTAGTTAGGGCTCTGTATATATAAACTTCAAAATATGGGAAAGAGCAGAGATTGTAACAGGTAGACAATACATACTGTTTTCAATTCCAAAGAGAAAGGGATGCAAAACATCACAGCTCACTCCCACCCCAATGGCCCAAGAAGCAGTATGATGATCCTCCAAGGGAAGATCATATGGAAGGACAATGAGATAACGTTTGTGGTTCAATTATTTATTTCTTTTTCCAGTTTCTGCACTCCACTCCCCCCCCACCCCCTTTTCAAAGAAGTCATGGCAGCCTTCTCTCTCCTGAAAAGGAAAGAAGGAAAAGATCTAGAGCTGGAAGTTCTTAGAGTTCATCCACTCCAATCCCTCATTTTACAGGTGAGAAAACTTAGGTCTAGAGATTTTTTAAGTGCCTTACTGGATGTTTCACAGGTACTAAGGATCAAGAGGGAAATTTGAACTCTGGTCCTTGGAACAGGATTAGGAACCCAGGCACCCTTTCCTCACTCCAGAATATACATCTGACATGCAACTTTCCTTCACCCTCGATAACATTTCTCCTTTAAGAGGAGGTTCACAGAGATGTGCTGTCCTTCTCCTCAACTTTCATTTCCATGATTTCCTTATTACCAGGAATTCCTTTCTTCAGCTTAACTCCTATCAGAATTTCACCTCCAACTCCCTAGTTGGAATTTCCTTTCTCTCCTCTTTCTTTCTCTACCTCCCTCAACTCTACTTTAACCAATAGGGAATCTCTTTTGCTACTGAACTTTGCCCTTTAACTCTCCAACTCATTAGGAGCCTCACCCACTGCCTATTTGCACCTGCCTCGTCTGGGCCACAACCAGCTGGAAATTGGCTTTAACTCTCGAAGCTGGCAAAGGGCACTCAAGAGGTTATTTTGTCCAGTTTCCTGCATCTGGACTAGGAAGTCCTAAAGTCACCTGAGCCTCCATTTTAAGTTTCATTTCATGACACTCCCAGGACTATCCTACTATCTCCTTGAAACAAGAAATTTTTCCTGTTTTCTAAACACAGTCTCTCCTGTTGTTAGCCTACTCCTTCCATTCACCCCTTCTCCCCAAGTTCCCAGTCCTCCCCACACACACTCCCATCCCCTACCTAGAGATGTTATGCTGAGAACATTGGAAGAGCTATTTTAACCTACCCTGTTTTCTCCCAAGCAGGTGGTTGAGCATAATTATCCTGACCTCTCACCTTCTAAAGTAGCAATATCCACCTCAGCAGAACCCAGGGCAGAAGGAGGAGTGGGAGGTGATGCTGCAGAGTGGGCACAGCAGCATCCATAGCTGAAGGTGCCTAAAACACAAATATATGATCCCTCCACATTCTACCCTACCTGGCTACTGGCAGGCGCATGGGCTTGGAAGCTTACCACACCCGAGAGAAGAGCTTCATCTCAACATGCCTCATTCTCTATACTCACCCTCTCCTTTTTTCTGGGCCCAGATGAAGATGTGTCACTTATCCCCTCTAAAATGAGACTCTGCATAATAGGCCTTAGCACCCTCCCAAATCCTCAGAAACCTCACCTCTACATCTCCCTTCACTCTCTACTAATTCCTCCCCTTCAACTTTCAAACATGGATTCCTTCTTGCTTGAGCCTTTTGTCCCTTCCGGATGCTGTCCCTTCTCTTTTCTCTCTCCTTTCACAACTATATTTCTCAAAAGAGCAGTTAATGTATATTACCTATATTACTTCACAACCCACTTCTTCAGAGGCCCACAATATGGCTTCCACTGCTATTTCCAATCTCTAATGACTTCCTTCCAATTTTAATGGCCTTTTCACAGTTCTTAATCCCCAGTCTTTTTGTAGCATCTGACACCACTGAATATCTCTCTGCTTAAAATTCTGCCCTCCCTTTTCTTCTGGGATGCATTCTTATCTTAGTTCTCCTACCTCTGTGGTAGATTCTTTTCTGTCCCTGGGGCCATCTTCTTTTCCTTCTTGGCCCCAGTTCTTCTCTGTGTATAATCTCTCCTTTGGTGTAGTGGACTGAGTACTGGCCTGGGACATAGAAGATCTGAATTTAATCCTTGGCTCCACTGATGAGTCTCCATGATAGGTAGGGCATTCCTTAGCCTCTCTAAACCTCTCTAAACATCCTTTGGATGTTTCCTTATCCATAAAATGGAAATAATAATCATTATACTACTTACCTTATAAGGTTGTAGAGAGGCTCAAATGATATGATATATGTGAAACACTATGTAAATACAAGCTATTATTATTGGCAAACTCATTTCATGCCTTTAACGATCACCTCATGCCTATGACTTCCAGATCTATATCTCTACTATGACTTTTGTTCTCATTGTTCTTAGGACATTTCCACTTAAAGATTTCCCTCTCACCAGTGTTTATTCACCTTGTCCAAAATCAAACTCATCATCCCCCTTTCTAAACTAAGCCCACTCCCATACTCCCCAATTTTGTCAATTCAAAATAGCACTGATTTTGGTGATTCTCCTGATCACCCCGGGTCAAAATGTACAAGTCATCTTCAGCTCTCCCTCTACCTCATTCCATGCCTATAAAGGCAGATCTCCAAATCCTGTCATTTTTTCCTTTGAACACTCCCTTGAATTTATCCATTCTCCATTCCCACTCTAACCGCCTTAATCTAGACTATCAATTCAGTCAGCCAATAAACATTTATTAAGCATCTGCTATTTTCAAGGCACTTGCTAAGCACATGGGATACAAAGAAAGGCAAGAATATCCCTGCCCTCAATCAAATGGGGGAACCAACATGCAAACAACTATGTACAGACAAGCTATATACAGGATTAATAGGAAATTATCAAGAGAGGGAAGGTACTAGATTAAGAGAGATTGGGAAAGACTTCCTGTAAAAGGTAGGATTTTAGCTGGGACTTGAAGGAAGCAAGGAGGCAGAGATGAGGAAGAAGAGCATTCCATCCATGGGGGACAGCCAGTGAAAAGACATGGAGCCCAGAAATGGAGTTACTTGTTTTAGGAATAGCACGAAGACCAGTGTCACCATATTGAAAAGTATATTGTTGGGTATAAGATGTAAGAAGACTGGAAAGGTGGGACAGCATGAGAAGGAGTTAGATTGTAAAGAGCTTTGAACACCAAACAGAGGATCTTATAGTTGATCCTAGAGATGATAGGGAGTCACTGGAGTTTGTTGAGTATGGAGGTGACTCTGTTGGACCTGTACTTTAAGAAACTCACTTTGACAGCTGAGTGGAGGAAGGACTGCAGTGACAAGAGACTTAAGGCAGGCAGATCAAGCAGCAGGCTATTGCAGTAGTCCAAGCATGAGGAGATGAGGGCCTATACCTCAGGGTGACAGTGTAGAAGGAGAGAAAGGGGCATATGCAAAGAAGGTTATGAAAGTAATGTCGACAGGCCTTGGCAACAGATTATACATGGGGGATGAGAGTGAGGAATGGAAGGTGACAGCTAGGTGTCAAATCTGGGAGACTGGCAGGATGATAGTACCCTAGAAAGTAGTAGGGAGGTTTAGAAGGGGGAAGGATTTGGGGAAAATGAGTTCAGTTTTGAACATCTTAAGTTTATGATGTCTGTTTGTTTGTTCAGTCATTTCAGTTGACTCTTTGTGACCCCATTTTGTGGTTTTCTTGGCAGAAATACTGGGGTGATTTGCATTTCCTTCTCCAGCTCATTTTACAGATGTGAAACTGAGTTTACATGACACTATACTCAACAGAGCAACTTGTCTAATCGAAACTGATGATATTTAAGGTCTCTATCAGCTCTAGCTACGATGGTGCTCAGCCTGGTGGTGAAGACCTTAAATGAGTCAACCCCATTTTACCTACCCCATGTTGTGTCCCACTACATTCCAACACATGTACTCTGCTCCCTGACCCTCTAATATCCCACACTCATTTTTACCTCCTCATCCTTGCTCTTTTTACCCTTGGAATATCCTTTCCACTACTCTCCATTTATTAAAATCCCTCCTATTTTTATAGTCCCACTCTCTCCACTAAAACCTCTAGCCAATTATGATTCCTCTCTCCTTCCACCCATGACACTTATTGTCTGTATCATACATCTTGAAATTTCATTATGTTAAGTTGGCATTTAATTATATGCATTCTCATTCTTCTCTGTTGTTTCACGTGTGCAACTTTTGTCTCTCCGATAAGATTGTAAATTTCTAAAGTGGAAAAGACATGTAGCATAGTCAATTATATCCCCACAACACCAAGTACAGTGTTCAGCATCACAAGACACTCCTTAAATACTAATTAAATTGAAATGGAATTGAAGTAAGTCCTCCCACTCATCTCCACATAACATTGGCATTAAATCTGAAAGAAAAGGACTATTGGCTAGGTGAAAATCAGTGTCAGCAAGTTGCTAATACTTTTCAGAACCAGAGAAGGGAAGGGAACTAGAATTTCTTAAGCACATATTATGTGCGAGATACTGTGCTAAGTGACTTGGGTCCCTCAGTATCCCAAGATTGAACCTCAAGCCCTCCTCCTTCTTCATGCTCTAACCCCAGCCAGCCTGTCATTTATCCAGGAGAGGTAAATACTTCTATGAGGTCTGCATCCCTATCCTTACTCACTTTTTCTGTTGTCTTCTGTATGCCATTGTCTGGAAGTTTTTTCTCAGGATTAACCTTCCTGTCTCCTGCTTGAGTTATAGTTTGTTTCTCAATGCTCTGTTATCAGTATGATTGGAAAACAGGATTAACTCCTCCATTCACCCCCCAACCCACTCATACAACCTCCCCAAAGATTCTTTTCAGTATCCCCCAAGACTTAGGTTCAAAGCCACTAATCCCCCAATCCCTCAGTGAAATACAAAATTGCCTGTCCTTTACCATTAACACATGTTCTGAGTTCCCTAGATCCTTTGGATAAGAGACTAACCCTTTTTTGTAATATTTGTACCAAACTAATTGAATTCTGGCTTTCTCTTCACTAATTCCCCATAGGTTCCCTATTCATTTTTGGCTGATTGCCCAGTTTCTCTTTATCCTGATTCATTTTAGGCCTACCAACTAGTTTTATTTTAACACAATAGCTAGTTATGTTTTGGGTTTTTTTAAGTTACATTCCATCCAAACCCCTCCACAGAGTTTCCCCAGGTCAGTGGGTCGCTCACCATTCTATCCTCCTCCTCAAATTGGGAATAGTCAAGGGTAAAGTTGACTCCAAAGTCATCTGAGAAAGAGAAAAAATGGTCAATTATTTACTAGTGCTTACTATGGAGTAAACACTCTCTAAGGGCTAGGAATTCATAGAAAGGAGAACATAGAAAGGAGTCAGTCCCTGACTCCAAGGAGTTCATAATCTAATGAAAATCTAAGGGCACCCAGAAATCAGAGATGAAAGGCTGAGATGGGAATTTTCCAAGTGTTCTTGGCCACGTCCCATGGGCAGTATAAGACAACATTGTATAATTTGCATTCACTTTAATTTTAAAAGCATGTGAATAAACAAAAACAGATATGCAACAATATCGCCCTAAAAACCAGTTGCATCTATATTTTAATTAAAAAACTCCCTTCTAATGCTCTTAACCAGCCTCTCCTCAGAGCAGCCCTACTTTTCCCCTCCCCTCTCAACTTGGGGAATAACTATATAGTGCACTGATAGATGATTGAATTTTCACAAGTTTTCTATCCCTTATAAGCTGGAAAGGGAAAAAAAAGACATATGTATGTATGCATATGGATGTATGTGTACATATATACCCATACATAGCTATTGTATATCTATGTGTGTATGTAATATCTGTGTATATGTACACATAGATGTGCAATAGATATTACATATATCTTTAGGAAGGGGAGAATGATGTCACAGCCCCCAAAAGATTAATCATCACAGGCTTAGGAGACTTAAGCAATTGAGTTAAGTCAGATCCTGTTTGAGACTTTGGAAATGAGACTGAGAAGTGGTGTGGGTTAGGTTAATGGTTTTGGTTCTCCCCAAAATAAATAATATTACTTATCTTATTTGTCCTCTTTGGCCTGGCCACTGCACGGAAGGCAGTAGAGCTCTAGCCCAGATTGTGTCCCTCTGTATCATGCTCACCGTAATATGGAGTGACTGTGTAATAGACCACCTGATAATCTTCATATATTCCTTCATATATTTGTTCTTCCTCATATTCTTGTCCTAAAATGAGCAAAAGTGAGCGGCTCATGGGGTCTTTCCACAATCCACTGACAGTCTGAAGTCATCAGGAAATAACAGTCAGCCCATGAAGTTCCCATTTTGCTGCCTTCCCTAAGCATCAACCTGTCAAAAGACTGTTATAATCCCTTTCCCATGTTCTGCCCTGTGTTCTGAATAAAAAACCATAGGTTCACCCTCCCCTTTACTTCACCAAGGACTCTTTCTTCAGACTCCTCCTCCCAAGCCTCATATTCTGCATCCCCAGCTTAAATTGTCCCAGGTTTGACCTGTAAGGACTGAGGTTGTACTTGTGATTATCTTTTCCAGCTACATGGTGCATTGGATAAAGTGCTGGACCTGGAGTCAGAAAGACCTGCATTCACATCTGACTTCAGACACTTATGAACTGTATGAATCTGAACAACTCACTTAACTTCTCTGTGATTCAGTTTCCTCATCTGTAAAATGGGGATAATAATAGCATTTACCTCCCAAGGTTGGTTAAAGGATAAAATGAGCTAATATCTGTAAAGCACTTTGAAAATCTTGAAGCACTATATAAATATTATTATTATTAATTCTTCCAGAACAGAAAACACCTTGCTCCACATAGTCTCTCTTATTTGCCAAGAACCTAGATGAAGAAATGGTCTCGGAGGGGACTGAGATAAAAAAACAAACAAACAACGCAAATCTTCTTCCATCCAAGCTAAGTTCTTATAGAATCTTGGCTACTCTGAAAATTAACATTTCTAATAATTAAGATACATACACACACACACGTACATATATATATCTTGAAGATTTGTAAGGAATATTATACACATTCTCATTTGGGCCTCATCCTGTGAAGTAGGTGCTAGGCATTTTTATCCCCATTTTATAGATGAGAAAACTGAGGTTCAGAGGGTTAAGTAACTTTCTCATGGCTACAGAGCAAGTGAATGCTAGAGGTAAAATTGAAATCCAAGTCTTCCTGACTCTGAAGTCCAGCATTCTATTTACTCTGCCACACTTCCTTTGCAGAACTGCTGTTTATTTGAGGCATGCACGTGCTCGAGCACACGCACACCCACACACACCCACCATCACCACTACCACCACCACATAGACAAGGAAGATTTAGGGAATGGACATTGGGAGACTTAGGCTCTGCCACTAACCATCTGTGTGACCTAAATAAGCCATTTAACCTTATGGGACCTACTCTCCTCAATTGCAAAATGAGGAAACTGAATTAGCTGATCTCTAAGATTTCTAACTTCTATAACTTAGTCTACAGATCCACATCTTTTGCTATCCACCCTCATCCCCACATCCTAGCCAAGTTAATAACACAGGAATCTGGAGGAAGAGGAAAGGAAACACTGAGACATACCTGGCTGACTGGGAAACAAAGAAGGGAAGGAGACAGCTGTTCTCTTACCAGTGTCCCTGATGGCCGCTATTCTTCTCTAGGAGTCCCAAGCCACATGTAGACGGGAGTCTTTCTTTTACTCTCCAGCAACAAAGTTACTTCAACCATCTAATGTCACCCTGCTCCTAGTTTTCCCCAATCATAAAATGGAGTTTCCTCTTACCATGCAGTTTCAGCTGCCTTTTCTTGCTCTGCCTTCCTTGGAGATAGAGAACAATGATTTCCTTTTTTTTTTTTTTTTTTTTTCTGAAATCTCTCCAAGTCTGTAGTCTCGACCCTTCTCAGCCTATTCTTTTCTAGGTTCGATCTCCTACTTTCTCTATTCCCATGTTCACCACCTAGATTCTGGACCCAGAATGCCAGTTACAGATGAGACTGGAATTGCTCCTTTTGTCATACTCTTTTCTCCACCCTTTATTCCCTCCACACTTTTCATCTTCTTCCCCACCTTGTTCCCTAACTACTAGACACAGAATTCTGGTGAGGGCTAGAAGAAGGAATGATCTTACCCAAGATGAGCGGCACAGCAGCTATGACTACAAGTAGGACATCCATTCTGGCTTCTGACTCAGAGCAGTGAAGTTTAAAAAAAAAAAGAAAAGGAAATTACATCTGTACTTCTCTTCCCCCTTCTCGTGTGTGTGTCCCCCCCCCCCCCACTCCCAGCAGGAAGTAATCAAAACTGAAGCTACTTTTTCTTGCTATGGTCCTAGCTCCTTGGTCCATCACAAACTAACTGAATCCTCAAATAGGACTGTGCAAGACTCCTGGATTTGTGTGTGGGGGGGTGTAGATTACTCCTACAGTGGACCAACCCAGAGTTCTCTCTTCACTGTCCCCAACTATCCAAACACCCAAATCAGCATTGATCCAAATTAGAGTAAATCACTTATGGAAGCTGAATTCTACTTTTTAAAAAATGTTTTAACTGTTAAGAATCTATTTGTTTAAGAAGTTTCATCAATCCTAGCCAAAATGTATACATTATAAATATACCTGGAGACACTCATTTAAAAAAACACAAATTCAATTGTTTTTACATGTAGTTGGGGAAAAAATAAAATATTATTCAAAAATACAGATTCCCACATTTTTGCACACAATAATGTTCATGGCTATCAGAGATTTAGGGGTAGGCAAACTTTAGTGATATCACTGAGAAATCAGAAGTCTTCCCAGAATTCAGCAATTCCTATTGGTATTCCAAGGAATCCTGTGCAACCAAAATAATGCCTTGGTTTGTTTTTGCTGATTCCATTTATAGAAATAGTCCGAGGATATTGCTCAATGCCCCCCACCTTGAAGTTTGTGTCACTTTCTTTGATGGAATGCCAAAATTTGGGGGGGGGTTATATTTTTTCTTTGGGAGTGTTATTGTCAGCCTTGAAGTTCTTTTAATGTGTTATTTTGGATAGAGTCTGTAATATCCTTTCCAGAACTTTGAAACCTTTATAGGTTTTATGGAAATTTGCTGATTTTTTCCCCATGCAACATTAGCAATTCATTTACCCACAACCTCTATCTTTTACATTTTACTTCAGTGAAACTGGACAAGACCTTACTTGGAATTAATTCATGTTATTAACACAATAAACCATGTCAGTTACATGACAGCTACTATAATTAATAACTACTCACATTTATATGGCGCTTTAAGGTTTGCAATGTACTTTTCTTAAAACAACAACCTTTCAAGGTAGGTAGAAAAAAGCATTACTATTCTCATTTTAAAAATGAATAGCCTTTCCCCCAGGATGGCACCGAAGGTGAAGAAGGAAGTGGTTGTGCCCCCCCCCCCCGAGGTAAAAGCCAAGTCCAAGGCCTTGAAGGCCAAGAAGGCTGTGTTGAAGGGTGTTGATAGCCACAAAAAGAAAAAGATCTGATCCCTCACCTTCTGGCAACCCGAGACACTAAGACTTCCATGGCAGCCCAAATACCCTTGGAAAAGTGCCCTTCAGAGAAACAAGCTTGACCACTATGCCATCATTAAGTTTCCCTTGACCACTGAGTCTGCTATGAAGAAGATCGAGGACAACAACACTCTCATCTTCATTGTGGACATCAAGGCCAACAAGCATCAGGTCAAGCAGGCGGTCAAGAAGCTGTGTGACATCGACATGGCCAAGGTCAGCACACCGATCTGGTCTAATGGAGAGAAGAAGGCCTATGTCCAACTTGCTCCAGACTATGTTGCTTTAGATGTTGCCAACAAAATTGGAATCGTCTAAACTATGTCTCACTCTCCCACTCCACCTACAATAAAAAGTTTTCTAGTAAAAAATAACTAAATAAAAATAAAAATGAAGAAACAGACTTTGAATTGTTAAGTGATTTATCCATTATCATACAGTTAAGTCAGGACATAAATCCAAATTTTTGGCTCCAAGTCAGCACTTTATCCTCTACTTCAGACTGTCCTTCCATTTATGAAGAATAATTCATCGAATAATCAACAAGCCGTTATTTGTTCATTAACACATTTATTTTATTATAAATTTAATAATCATTGACAAAAACAAAAAAGAATATTACAGACAACCCTCAGCATTTAATGACCAGATGAATTAACAAACAATAAGCAAACAAAATGAGAGTTCTTGCAAGTTGAGAGAAATTAGTTTACTATTATATTAATAACCAATTATTAAATTGGGAAGCAGGCTCTTTTATTTCCTCATTTAAGGCCTAGGCCCTGTAAAAATTCAGTCTCTGAAGACGTGACCTGATTGATGGAATTGCTCTTAGCCCTCAAAGAACATGGTCTTCAGTCTTGGGCAGGATCCCATCCAACTAGGAGACCTAACTTCTATTTGGAATATAAACAGAATCCAGTATAGGTGAGTTCCTACCCCAGGGAAAGGAATGCTGTGCTTGTACCCCTCCATTAGAGTTTAGGGTGACCCAGCTCATGAAGGAGAAAACCAACCAGAGTGGTCTGGATGGAGATGGATTTCCTGTCCAGGTTGCTGGAAGCGGCTGAGCCTTGTAATCAAACCACATTCTCAGTAGGAGGAGCAGAAGACCTCTAGCCTACCTCCTTATTAAATGTCCACCAATCAGGGTTGATTTTCTCTTGTCAGGGGCATTCCCTTATACAAAAGGTATTTAAGGCATTCAGTGTCTCCATTGTTTGATTACTGAGAGAACCCACTGATCTTCAATTTATTGCTTGCTGGATAAGCCTAATTAATACATTTATTATTATTTACCCAGAAACTCTTGGTTTTTTTTTTATTTATAACAGAGTCCATCTAAATTTTTGTTACCTGGTATGACTTTTGGTTTTGTTCAGGAACCAAAAGAAGAGTGGCACTACGTGCATTTGGAGTCAATGTATATACATTTCTTGTTCTACAGATTTACTTTCGTTTACTCTAACATATATTAACTATTAAGCTTTTGTCCATCACAATATGGATTTTTCCTATCCTCTTGCCTCACTGATGCAAAGAATGGGGATATTTCCCTTCCTTAATCTGACCATCAATTTGGAGTCCCTGCCAGAAAAAGTGAAGTTCTTCCTTTCTCACAAACAGATGAGGAGCAGGGTAGGATGAGGGAGGCTGCGAGAGGAAGAGATCCCCTAGGTTGAAGACTGAGACTCTCTTCTATCTTATTTATGCATCATGTGATGATGGTTCCACCGTTTGGATCCCAAAGCATTTCCCATAAAAGTTCCTAGGCACAGCTGTAACTTCCTTCCTGGCTCTTCGGTTAACTATTACCTCACCTTAACTCTGCTCCAAGTTCCTGTTCACAGATTGGAAGAAGGAGGAAAGAGAAGGTCAACCTCTCTTTCTGTAGACACCGGACCTCTCACTCCCAAAGTTATTTGGTCCAACCCCCTGAAACTTTGTGTTTCTGTCCTGACTGGACCTAATCTCCTCATTCTGTATCCTCGTTTACACTCTGTATTGACTGGCAATAGTCCTTCACATGAATTCCAGGAAAAATGATACCCTTGGTTCTCCCTTCCTCCCAAGGCTCGTTTAAACATTTGAAAAGTCCCCTAGAAGATCTTAAGTATCTCCAATCAGTCAACAAACATTTATTTGCCAAGAACTGTGCTCCATCCCAATGTGGTTGTGCAGGCTATTTGAACTAGGTTTCTAATTCTCTGTTCTTCCATCAGTCAGTCTGAAGAACAAGATATCACAAAAATACATCTTCAGAAACTAAATAAAGGAAGTGTAACACAAAAGGTGGGGGTGGGGGAAGGAAGGGGGCTGAGTTTCTTTGTTAGCTGTCAACCAAAAGACAGCACAGTACAGTACTGAAAACTTTCTTGTTCTTCATAAGAACCGCTTCTTTTGAAGTCAGTCCTTTCAAGGAGCATCCTTTCCTCTTTCATTATTCCTTCTTTCACTATTACATTCACAGATGGAGGTCTTTCCGATGCTTTCCTGGGTTCCAGGTCTCATGTAAGACAGTAAATTCTCACTGGGGCTTTTAAGTTTCATCTTTTCTGCTGTATCCCCGATCCATTTCCTTCCATTCAATTAAAAACAATGAGCGTCCCCATCTGCCCTACTGTGCCTCACACCGCCCCCCGCCCCCCACAACAGCCCTTGGGTTTTTTTTCAGGCATTCTCTCCCCCACCTCCAACCTTTCTACAGCCTACCAGGAGGCAGTGGGAGTCCCACCACCCTTTGCTACTGATAGCAACTGCAACCTAAGAGAGCTTGGGAATAGAAGAGAAGAGGGGTTTGGAGGCAGAACCTAGTTGTCCTGGCTCTAAGCCCAATTCAAGTTCAACTCAGTTCCTTTTGTCCGTACCTGGCGTAAATTACTAAACCACACCCTAGGGAGGGGTAGAGACTGGAGGAACTAGGAACTACAACTCCCGGGATGCAACATCCCTCCCTAAAAAAACAACTCCCCAACTGTAGCCACGCCTCCTACAATCTCACCATTGGCCTTGGGGGTGGGGACAAGAAGGGAGGGCGATGGGGCTGGGCTGGGGCCTGGGGATGTCCCCAACTCGGCCTCCGTAGGGGAAGTCGGGCGGACCGGCTGCTGGGGCGTCAGTGTCCCCCCCTCCCCCCACCCCCCCGCCCCTTCCCCCCTCTCCGGGGCCTGGGGGTGACATTGCACCGTGCCCCTACTGGGGCAGAAATCGACCCCCCCCACTGGTCAGCTGCCCCCCACCCCCTTCCCTTGTAGGTTCCTGTCCTCCCCTTGCTCCCCTTCCCACCTTCCCCCATCCCATCCCCAAGGCCCCGCCATGGGTGCCGCGGTCTTTTTCGGATGTACTTTCGTGGCCTTCGGCCCAGCCTTCTCGCTCTTTCTGGTCACGGTGGCCGGGGACCCGCTTCGGGTCATCATCTTGGTGGCCGGGTGAGTGGGCGTGGGAAGGGAAGAGGGGTGGGGGGGGTGGCGGCCGGAGGCTATGGAAGAAAGGAAGCCCTGGACGATCAGATGGCAAGGAAGGTGGGTGCCGGGGGAGAGGGTACGTGGCCCACTAGTCCGGAGGCCGTGGGTAGTTTATCCCTTCACTCTTGGCTACTTCTGCCTTCCCATGTGGCAGAGATTCCCACCTTCCAGTGTCTTGATGTTGACCTTCGGAA